GCTATCCCTGGCTTGGCTTAGGTCTCCCTAAATGCTCTGCTCAGGGGAGCTGGGTGGCTGGGGGAGGGCAGGGCTGTGTCTGGGCTGTCAATTGCTCTGAGTCAGTGACTCCCAGACAGACACCCTGGTAAGCATCTACTGATAAAGCCAACCCTACTTAACCAGGGGGCCCAGGGGACACAGTGTGGCAGCCAGGCAGCTGGGTTCAAGTCCCAGCTCTGCCACTGAGCACACAACTTACTTTGCCTCTCTGGGACTCAGTTTCCCCACATGTAACGGAAATGATAATCGCCCCTTTCTCATCGGCTTGTGGGGAGGATTACAAGACGTAATCCAGGTAAAGGTTCTAGTACAGTGCCTGACAGTTAGGTGCTGCAAACAGCCATCTGTGACTTGGCGGTTGGGATGATTATGTGGCAGGTACCAGCCTGTGGCAAGGGAGGTATCTGGAGATGATCAGAGGACTCACTTGGTCCCTGCCCTCGTGGGGTTTACACTTCAGACTCCCAGGCCTCATACCTGTTTGATAAACCTTGGAATGAAAGTGGTAGGCAGGTGACTTTTCCTAAGAGAGAAAGAGATCCCTAACAAGTTGAGTGACCTTGGGTTGGGGGTAAGAATCTCTTACTTGCCTGCCAAGGAACTTAGGCAAAGCTGGTTGGCAGGGGTCAGGAGGGTGACACTCTGATTCCAAAGTCCCAGAAGACACAGGTGGGAAACCTGGGATGCAGGGAGTGGAGGGAGGGGTGGGTGCTTGAGACTGGGGCAGGAAGGAGGGGGTGTGGCTCTGGCTGGAAAGGCTGTGAGAAGGGGCTGGACCTGGCATGTCTGGCACCCAGGAGTCCCCAGGAGGCTTCTTCTCCCTCCTTTGCTGACCTCAGAAGTCTGAGGGCATTGGCGCCAGTGACACCCGGGGAGTCCAGACCCGGCACCAAGAATCCTGGAACTAGACGCACCTTTCCTTTTTTTTTTTTTTTTGAGATGAGGTACCACTCTGTCACCCACGCTGGAGTGCAGTGGCACCATCTCTGCTCACTGCAGCCTCCCCCTCCCAGGCTCAAGCGATTCTCCTGCCTCAGCCTCCTGAGCAGCTGGGACTATAGGTTCGTGCCACCACACCCAGCTAATTTTTGTATTTTTTCTTTTTTTTTTGGTAGAGATGAGTTTCCCCATGTTGCCCAGGCTAGTCTTGAACTCCCAAGCTCAAGTGATTCGCCCTCCTCGGCCTCCTGAAGTGCTAGGGTCACAGGTGTGAGCCACCATGCCCAGCCTGGAACCTCCTTTCTGCTGGTCCCACCTCAAGGTATTTGCCTCTGCTGTTGACTTTGAAAGGTTGACTTCCCCTCTTCCCTTAGGTCTTAACTCCATTCTCCTCTGTGCAGAGACGGTTTCCTCAGCCACCTGAGCTCAAAAGCCAAGTCACTTCCATCTTCTTGACATTACTCATCACTCACTGAAATTACCTTTTATTGGTTTGTTTTTGGTCTTTGATCTCTCTTCGTCCCCCCGTCCTGCTATGATCTGAGCTCTATGAGGGGAGTGACTTTGCCTGGTTCTCTCGCTACCATGTGTACATATCCAGTGCCTAGAATAGTGACCCTGGTCCCCATGAGCATTTGCTGTAGGAACCAACCAAGCACAGCCCACAAGTCAGACGAACCCAGAGCTCAGAGGTACTGGGGAGAGCTAGCTGGTCAGGGACAGTGCAGGGACTCCAATCAGGGGCTCCTGGCCCCTCCTGGCCACCATCATCACTCTGCCAACTGCCCCGGAAGCAAAGGAACCACCCACCTCATTTGCTGCCGCAGAGACTGCCACTTGATTTTGTTGAATTGTTTTAAAACACCACAATGTAGCTACTTTTGTAAAAAAAAAAAAATGTGTAGAAGAGAGGGGGTGCGTGTGTGTTGGCATAAAAAATTTAGAAAAAAATTAAAGATAGATGAATATTTATGGATGCAAGGGAGATATGGTTAAGTGGGAAAAGGCCGATTGCAGAGAAACCGGCTTATTTGGCTTCTATTTTGAGAAAAAAAAAATCAACAAACCAACCAATCCATCAGTTATGTTGACCTTTGTGTGTTGTGTCTGAGTCTGCAGAAGTACGAGAAGGCTATGGAAGGATACACTCCAGCCACAGACTAGTTATCTCAAGACAGTGGTTGTGAGAGAGGGTGGGTGGTAGGGCAGGAGCACAGTGGGGTTCGCCCTTATCAGAGGGGGACTCTTTTGCAATGCATTCCTCTTGCAACTTGGACAAGATCATGAATAAAAGAAGAGAGGAGATGCTGGTTTCTTCTCTTAGATCTTGCCATGAGCTTTTTTTTCTCCAGACAGCTCAAACTGTCCTTGGATGGGTGGGGGTGTCTTTCTGGCATCTCATTCTGTCTCAACTCAATCCCACCCGATCCCCTCTCACCCCCAGTTCTCCAATGGGGAACCTAAGACTAGAGGTGGGGAGAGACTTGACCAAAGTTACAGGCCACCTCCTGGCTCTGCCACAGCTTCCTGCCCCATAATGATTTGTGGTGACTTTAAGAGTGAATGTGGGGGCTGGATGTGGTGGCTCCTGCCTGTAATCCCAGCACTTTGGGAGGCTGAAGTGGGCAGATTACCTGAGATCAGGAGTTTGAAACTACCCTGGCCAACATGGTGAAACCCTGTATCTACCAAAAATACAAAAGTTTGCCCAGCTTGGTGGTAGGCACCTGTAGTCCCAGCTACTTGGGAGGCTGAGGCAGGAGAACCACTTGAACCCAGGAGGTGGAGGTTGCAGTGAGCCAAGATTATGCCACTACACTCCAGCCTGGGCAACAAGAGTGAAACTCCATCTAAAAAAAAACGTGAATGTGGTGAATATGAAAAATGGGAAGTTAAAAGGAGAGAGAGAAGGGGAGGGAGACAGAGAAGAAACAGGAAAGTGGGGGAAAGTCCACAAAGGGTAAAAGGAGTGGGCAATGAAAAGGAGGAGGAAGGAGAAGGCAAGAGACAAGGACAAGGAGAGAAAGGAAGAAGAGGTGGCTGGTGCAGTGGCTTGTGCCTGTAATCCCAGCACTTTGGGAGGCCCAGGTGGGAGGATCGCTAGAAGCCAGGAGTTTGAGACTAGTCTGGGCAATATAAGTGAGACCCCCATATCTATAAAAAATTTTTAAAAATTAGCCAGGTGTGGTGGCATGCACCTGTGGTCCCAACTACTCCAGAGGCTGAGGTGGCAGGGTCCCTTGAGGACAGGAGGTTGAGGCTGCAGTGAGCTGTGTGAATGATTCCACCACTGCACTCCAGCCTAGGTGAGAAAGTGAGACCCTGTCTCAAAAAGAAAGGAAGAAAGAAAGAAGGAGAGAGAGGGGGAGGGAGGGAGAGAGAGAGAAAGAAAGAGAGAGAGGGAGAGAGAAAGACAAGAGAAAGAGACAGAAAAAAAGGAAGGAAGGAGAACAGGAAATAAATGAGAAGGAAATGAAATGAGAGAAGTGAATGAGGATTAAGGAACAAGTGAGGGATCGAGCAAGACTGAAGCGGGGTGCCAGTGGGCAACAGTCTGAAAAGCAGAGAGAGACAGATGTGGAACTGTGTTGTCAGCAGCAGGGAGGGAGAGACAATTACCCAGAGACAGAGGCAGGTGGAAAGTTCCCAGTGGATAACAGATGTGAAAGGATGGGTGCTTCCAGAAATGGCAGAGACACAGAGACCTAAAGAGATGCATGACAGAGACAGAGACAGGTGGTCAGAAAGTCAGAAGGCGATTCAGACTGGTCAGGTAGGGGGAGGGCCAGCGAGGGACTGAGGCTCTGGCCCACCAGGTCCCTGCGTCCTGCGTGGATGGGGCTCTGTCGTGTTTGCCTAACTGGTGTCTGCAGGTGCTGCTTTGGGTGGGACGTTGCGACCAGGTTTCTGTGCAGGAGGCTCGGTCTGTGTGGGCGGCGTCCCTGAGACTCTTGTCGCGGCTCTTGGTTGTCCCCAGGACTCTGTTCAAGGGAGGGCCTGGGGGAATCCTCCAGAAAGTCTGAATTAACCCAGCTCCCTGCCCGCTGAGCACCCACCCTCCGGCCTCCTGCCTCTTTGCACTCTCCTCCCTTTTCTTAGGGGGGATCTAAGAATCTCCTTTACCACCCCCTGCCTGCCAGGCCCTACTGGGGAGACTCCAGGTCCAGCTACCTAACCTCAGTGCAGAAACCTGCCCCAGGCCCTCTCCCCAGCTGAGAGGACCCGGGTTAACCCTCTGACCCTGCCTTAACCCTTCCCTTTCCTGTCCCTCATCCGCCCATGCCCATCGCTCTTCCTCTGTCCAGCCCCAGGAACCCAGACATTCAATCAGAGCTTCAGAATCTAAGACCCCAGCCCAGCACCCCAACGTAACTGCAGCCCCCCAAGTATCAACACTTTCTCTCAACCTAGATGACCCTGCTGGGGGATTTCAGCCCCTTCCCCTCTTTTTCTGACCCTGAGACATAGGTCTGTGGACACTCTTTTACCCTCCTCTTATTGACCCTGGGAAGACATCCATGCCCCGACCTCTGTCCCGAGATGTCTACCCCAGCCCCCGGCAAGGACCTCTTCAGGGACCCTCTCCACGTACAGATGAAGAGCCCTGACAGGGCATCATCCCCTGCCCCCCACCCCAACTCAGTTTAGAGATCCGGCCCGGGGACCCCGACTCCAGTGTCTGTCCCCTCCTCATCAGGAGCCGCAGACTCCCGCCCCCAGGCCGGGCTAGGTGTCTTCAACCCTCTTGCCCGCCCGGGGAAGCAGACCTCTGCCCCTGGGCCCGGCTTCGGCCCCGGGACGCCGACCCCTGCCCCAGGGCGCGGACCCCCACGTCCGTCCGAGGTCCCCCTGCCCAGCCAGGGGATGCAGACCCCGCCCCCGGGCCCAGACCTCGGCGTCCCGGGGCCTCCCCTCCCCGGCCCAGGGATGCAGCCCTCGACCCCCACCCCTGATCCCCCAGTCCCCCACCCAAGACCCTGGCGTCCCGGTCGAGCCCCCCGCCCCCGGCGCTGCGGTACCTCGGCTGATGACGGCCAAGCCGGCCAGGGCGGCGGCGGCGAGAAGCCGGAGCCGGGCCCCGGGCGCAGGGGGGGGCATCGCGGCAGAGGCGGCGCGCAGGGGGAGGGGAAAGGGGGGGCCGGTCCGGGGCGCGCGAGGCCTGGGGGGAGAGGGGGGAGGGGGAGGGGGACCCCGCCTGCGGCTGCACCGGCCCGGGGGGCGGCGGGGGCGGGGGGAGGGGGCTGGGGGGGCGCGACGAGGCGGCCGGAGCTGCTGCAGACCCGGGGAGGGGGGCGGCGCTGACGGGCAGGGAGACTGGCCAATCAGGAGAGGCGGGGGGCCGGGGAGGCGGGGTCGAGGGGGGGTTGCTTGTTGGAGGGAGAGGCCTTTGTTACTGCGGCCCGGCCCCTACCCCCTCCCGCCCCAGGCGTCCCCACGTCTTTCCACCAGGTCCGCAGAACCCGGAGTCTGAGATACTTCCTAAAACCCAGCTCCCTCCTCCAGGTCCCAATCTTCCCTCAGACCTAGGAGACTAGCCCCATCCCCTCCACCCTCAGACCCAGGAGACCAGGTCCCAGCCCCTTCTCTCTCAGACCCTGGAGTCCGGGACCCCAGCCCCTCTTCCCTCAGACCCAGGAATCCAGGCCCCCAGCCTCCTCCTCCCTCTGACCCAGGAGTCCAGGCCCCCAGCCTCCTCCTCCCTCAGACCGGGGAGTCCAGGCCCCCAGCCTCCTCCTCATTCAGACCCAGGAGTCCAGGCCCCCAGCCCCTCCTCCCTCTGACCCAGGGCCTCCCTCAGGCCCCTCTTCCTGTGGGACACAGTTCAGCTCTTCCGTCTATTTTCATAGATAACGAACACTGATTTTTGGAGTGAAATTTGCTTTTTGTCTCCACCCCAATCCTCATCCCCAGTATAATAGGGCAATGAGAAGAGACTGGGGGACTTATCTTGGGGGAGCAGGTGGGGAGGAAACCATAATCCAGGGTTTAGGTGCAAAACATCCTGGCTCCCTGTTCTTTCACTGACTTGGCTGTGTGACCTTGGACAAGCCACTTCTCTTCCCAGAACCTCAGCATCTTCCCCTGCAAGATGGAAAAATCCTCATTGCTCAAGGTTATTGAGAAGAATGAGCGATCCTGGAGCAGCTCCCGGCTCCACCCAGCACCTCAACCACCTGTAGTCAGTTTCCTCCTCCCCTTTCCACTTCGCACCTCTTTATTAGCTGTATTCCACCCTTCTGTTCCTGTCCCCTTGGCATAGGCAGGAGCAAAATTATCTCTGAGCCTGTGTTATCTCTGTAGCAGTTCAAAGCAGGAGCTGTTGAAGTTACCCAGTAGGGGCTGTTCCGCCTCAAAAACATCCATCCTCAGTTCCTTCCCCTTCCCCTCACATCCAATCTGTCTGCAAGACCCTCTGGCTCTGCCTCCAAAACAAATCTCTGCTTTGTCCTTTTCTTTTCTTTGACAGACTTTTGCTCTTGTTCCCCAGGTTGGAGTGCAATGGCACGGTCTTGGCTCACCGCAATCTCCGCCTCTCGGGTTCAAGTGATTCTCCTGCCTCAGCCTCCCGAGTAGCTGGGATTACAGGCGTGAGCCACCATGCCCGGCTAATTTTGTATTTTTAGTAGAGATGGGGTTTCTCCATGTTGGTCAGGCTGGTCTTGAACTCTGGACCTCAGGTGATCCACCCACCTCAGCCTCTCAAAGTGCTGGGATTACAGGCGTGAGCCATCATGCCCGGCTAATTTTGTATTTTTAGTAGAGATGGGGTTTCTCCATGTTGGTCAGGCTGGTCTTGAACGCTGGACCTCAGGTGATCCACCCACCTCAGCCTCTCAAAGTGCTGGGATTACAGGCGTGAGCCACCATGCCCGGCTAATTTTGTATTTTTAGTAGAGATGGGGTTTCTCCATGTTGGTCAGGCTGGTCTTGAACTCTGGACCTCAGGTGATCCACCCACCTCAGCCTCTCAAAGTGCTGGGATTACAGGCGTGAGCCACTGTGCCCGGCTGCTTTGTCCTTGTCTTATTCTCCCATCCTGGTCTGAGCTTTCCCCATCTCTCCCTGTAGGGCTCTGGCTGTAGCAGCCTTTGCTCTGCTCTCCTGGCCTCTATCTTTGCCTCCACCTTCAGAATAACCGCTAAACACCTGGACCAGCTGGGCCACTCCCTGCCTCAATCACTCAGCCCATTGTGGCCTTCTTTCCTTCCCTTACTCAAACCAAACAATTCCAGCCCCAGGGTTCTTTACACTTGCTCTTTATGCTGGAATGCTCTTCCCACCACACTGGCACATGGCTGTTTCTTAAGTCTCACCTTCTCCCATTTAAGAAGCCTTCACTGGGCTGGGCACAGTGGCTCATGCCTGTAATCCCAGCATGTTGGGAGGCTGAGGCGGGCGGGTCGCTTGAGGTCAGGAGTTCAAGACTAGCCTGGCCAACATGGTGAAACCCTGTATCTACTAAAAATACGAAAAACTAGCCAGGCATGGTGGCAGGCACCTGTAATCCCAAGCTACTTGCGGGGCTGAGGCAGGAGAATTGCTTGAACCTAGGAGGTAGAGGTTACAATGAGCCAAGATCGTGCCATTGCACTGCAGCCTGGGTGACAGAGGGAGACACTGTATCAAAAAACACAAAACAAACAAACAAACAAAAACCTGAAGGCTTTGCTGATCATATTATCCAAAGTAGCTCCTACTCCCAACACAATAACTCTGTGTCACACCTCTTCGTGACATTAATGATTTTCTTCTTTCACTGCTATTTGTAGTTGTTCTCCCCCTACTCCCACTTCCAGAACGTGAGTTTCATGGGGGATTTTGGTTTGGTTTTGGTCTGCTTTTGTTCAAGCTTGCATTTCCAGAGCCCAACTCAACCTAGTGACTGACGTGTAGTAGGTACTCAAATAAATATGTACTGCGTGAATGAGTTGGATGGCTTAGCTCCATTTGGAGAGATGGAGGGAAGTAAAATACCGAGGGAAGAAGAGACCCGTCCGTGTTCACAAAACTGCATGATGCGAAAGCTGATGGTGTTCTGGAGGTGGCTTGCACTGGTTCGAAAGGGCAGATTATTAAATTTTCAGAAATTGTGCAAGCCAGATGTTAAACCATTGTTAGCTTGAAATTGGCCATTCTGGGAGGATTTGCACCATAGCAATGGTGAACACGACAAATCAGGACTTTCTGCTTTTTGGAGAAGCAGCTCACCAGCCCACCACTCCACAAAATCCACTGTGATCCTGGTGAAAGTACATTTATGGATCCTCTTTGAATTCTGGGCCATTTAGACTGAGGAAGAGAACAGGAGCTCCCTCTTCCTGAAATGGCCCATCCCATGCCTGGTAACATATGAGTGTCCACTTGTGTAGGCATCTTTCTAAGCACTTTGTACATATTATCTCCTTGAAGCATTATGACATCCTTCTGAAGCAGAATTTATCTATATCCCTATTTCACAGGTTAGGAAAAAGAGACATGGAGAATTTTTTAAATGCCAAGAGCTATAAATGTGTGATGTTGTGAAGGATATATTTGGTCTTCATAACACCCTTCACCTCCACTGGCAGGCCCCAGGTCTCTCCGGTATAGGAGCTGAAAGTTAAGTGGATCACCAATGGCCAGTGATTTAATCAATCATGCCCATGTAATGAATGTTCCATTTAAAAACCCCAAAGACTGAGTTTAGGGAGCTTCTGTATAGTTGAACACATGGAGGTTCCTGGAAGGTGGCACGCCTGGAGAGGGCAAGTCCATTCTCTTTCCCCTACACCTCACTCTGTGCATCTCCTCATCTGTATCCTTCGTAATCTCCTTTATAATAAACTGGTAAACATAAGTAAGTGTTTCCTAAGTTCTTTGAGCTGCTCTAAAAAATTAATTGGGCCAGGCGTGGTGGCTTATGTCTGAATTCTGGTACTTTCAGAGGCTGAGATGGATGGTTCATGAGGTCAAGAGATCCAGACCATCCTGGCCAACATGGTAAAACCCCATCTCTACTAAAAATACAAAAATTAGCTGGGTGTGGTGGCACATGCCTGTAGTCCCAGCTACTCAGGAGGCTGGGGCAGGAGAATCACTTGAACCTAGGAGGCAGAGGTTGCGGTGAGCCGAGATTGTGCCACTGCACTCCAGCCTGGTGACAGAGCAAGACTCTGTCTCAAACAAACAAACACCCAAAACCCCCCAAAACACACAAAAAAACAACAACAAAAATTAACTAAAGAGAAGGGGGTTTTGAGAACCCCAGTTTGTAGCTGGTCAGTGAGAAGCACAGGTAAAGAACCTGAGGCCTACATGTGGCATTGGAAGTGGGGGACAGACTTGTGGGACCAAGCCCTAAACTTGTGGGATTTTCTGTGAGGTCCAGGTAGATAGTATGAGGACTGAATTGGAGTACAACCAATTGGTGTCCACTGCAGAACTGAATAATTTTGGTCGCTGGTGGGGAGAAATCCCTACACAATTCTTGGTGACACCAGTCAACACAGAAGTGTTGATTGTTGAGTGAAATAACAGAAAAAAACACTTTGGTTGTTTTCCCTATAGCCTCAGATTTGGTGTCAGAAGTGGGATGAGTAAAATAGAAATTGATGGAGTTAGAACAAAAGTCTTAATATAATACTACTGACAGTTGGGTGAGCCAAAGGGAGTCCTTGCTGGTTCCCTAACATTAAAGGGTTCCAAAAAAGTTTGCTGTATTTACCCTAGTTTGGATAAATTTTAAAAGTCAGAAAGCAAAGATTATGATAAGAAATCTGACCTAAAATTTCCTGGGACAATAGTCTGGCAGTTTAATCAAGATAAAGATTAACCAACAAACAAGGGTTCCTTTGCTCAATCCCCTGATGGGAGCATAAAGAAAGCTTTATACACACAAGTGGATAAAATAATCAGGGATGGTGAAGAGAAATTCCTGGGACTCCTTGATATGGGAGGTCCACTGATGATGGTACCAACATCCACTGGTGAAGTTCTGACTTGGGGTATGATTAGATTGAGAAAACGTAAACATTTAAGGGTTTATGTTTTAACTTAACGAAAGTTGGAATGCTTGAGCAAGATTCATGTAAAGAAGTTGTATCTCCTTTACCTAAATGTTTAATGAGAGTGGATAGCATATCTGACTGGGGAACATTTCTGCTACCTAGTCTTGTAAAACTAAAACCCACTAATAAAGTTCTAACAGAGGCTACAGTTAGGAAAGTGAGAGTTGGTGGAATTAAGATAAACCTTGATAGGAGAGTTGGTATATTTGAACACACTTTCTCTGAAGTGATTTTACCTGATTGTATTAGCGGGTTG